TTGCTTGCTTGCTTGCTTGCTTGCTTGGCAGTCTCTTTCTTTCTTTCTCCCTCTTCTTTCTCTCTCTGTCTCTTTTTCTCACTCTTATTCTGCTTAGCTTCAGTCTCCTGGGCTCAGTCAAGAACAAAAACAATAAACAAAGCACTCCAGTATATCAACAGCCAAAGTGTTTCTCCAGAAATTGTATTTCCGTCGTTGGTGAAGGACTCGTTGACATATGTGAGTCTCCCAGGAGTCAGCACTTTGAAGGAGGTACATTGCTACAGGCTGCGTGCTTCCACCTGATTATGTTCAAGAGTTCTACTTAACTAGGCTTTCCATAACAAAAACAGTGTCTGCTTTCTCCCCAACCCCTCCTGCTGCCTTAGAAGAGCAAGTGCCTCTCTTCTCTGCAACACTTCTAGACATATTAGGACAAGTAACGTGTTCAGAGCCAGCTCCACAGCCATTTCCCTGACATAGGGTTCCTCTGCTCAGGATTCTGTGTCTCAGATCATCACAGAGGCTGTGGTCAGAGGGGTTTCCTGGTGGTGATGGACACAGTCAAGGGTGTGTGTATTCACATCATCACGTCCATCATTTCAGTGGCTCGTCCAAAGTTACAGGTTCCTGTTTCCACACTCAGCGGAACCCTAGTCTAGCACCCTGTATCTGGAACCTAGAACCCCTTTCCAAAAATCCTTCTTTACTGACAGCTCTTGGAACATTCTGAGAGCAGACCTCTGGCTGAATGAACCGGTATCAAAGATACAATATTGAGATAGAAACCTTTTTCCTTCCTTTGCTCCAAAACTGACCATTGGTGTCAAGGAGCATCCTGACACCCTCCCTCCCCGCCACGTGTGCATTTTCTGTCCTTCTTCATAAAGTAATCCCACTCAAGGGCTTAGTCACCTAGCAGAAACTTAGGGAATTCCTGCTTAAGGACAGGGGACATACATTAAAGTTGTTGTTGCTGTGTGCCATCGAGTTGGAAATGACTCATAGCTGACTGTCCAGAGGGATTTCAGAGGCAATAAATCACACAGGAGGAGATAGTCTGCCCATCTACTGCAGAGAAATTGGTGGATTCAAACTGCATGCCTTTGGGATTGCAGCATAACTTCTTACCACTAATCCACTGTTGTTGTATACTATAGAGTCAGAATTGACCCATAGTTGACCCTCTGGCATATTTTCAGAGGCAGTTAATCACACGGGAGGAGATTGCCCATGTTCCTCATCCCGCTCCCATGGAGCAGCTGGTGGATTTGAACTGTGGGTGCCTTCAGGATTGCAGTGCAGCTTCTTGCTGCTAGACCACCCGAGCGCCCTGCTAGGCCACTAGAGCTCCTTATATTAAAGAGAGATGGTAATAACTACGCAGGGACACACAGCCAATCAAAAATAGACCCTGTTGGAGAACTGAGTTTATTCTTCGGGCCCTTCTGCTTCTGCTCACGGTCTGTTGTCTAGAGCCATTGCAGAAACTCCAGACAGAGGCAGTGTTGCCTGTTGAAGATGGACTCCGTCAGCAAGGGAGAGGGGCTCTGGGGCTTTGAATAATCTCAGTATGCTGGCCCCTGGCTATTCACACACCTGCCAGGGCCATTTCTTCTCCCTAAGAATAAACATGGTAGTTAGTTCAGTCTCTCCTGAAACCAGGCCTCCATGTTTGCGTCTTCCGGTTCCTTCTTGGGCTCTGTGTTAGAATTCACTCTTGTGTGCTGGTTTCTGGGTCACTGATCGCGGTGTCTGCCGGAAAGTCCTTGCCCAGAGTGTTCCTGTTCTCTCGTTCTGTTCTGCCCTGTCATTCTAGCTGTTCTAGTGCCAATGCTACACATCAGCTTTATAGTAAGTTTTTATGGCTGGCTAAGTAGACCTTATAAAAAGAATACACTTGCTTCCATCTTCACACATGCATTCTTTGACCTTAACTTTAGAGTAACTAAAAAACTCAACCTCATTGCCGTCAGGTTGTAAACAGTGCATCGCTGACCCTCTAGCAGGTTTTCAAATGTTGTAAATTGCACAGGCGAGACTGCCCATCTTTCTCCCTCGGAGCAGTTGATGGATTTGAACTGCTTGTCTTTGGGTTGGTAGCACAGCTCCTTGCCAAGAAGCTGCCAGAGCTCCCTAATTTTACAACAGTGTTCTCTCATCCCCAAATTGGATACTCTTGTAATTTTCATTAGAATTATTTTAGCTTTGTATACTGAAACGAGAGGAAATGTATGCCCTGAAATATTGAGACCACCTGTTCAGCAAGTCTCTGCACAGGCATGCTGGCGGAGGGAGTGGGCAGAAATCTGAGCAGGGCTCTTCTCCGGGCTTGGGTCTCCAGGGCCGTCTTCCTCCAGGGGGCAGCACCTTCTCATCTTCACAAAGCTTCCAGATGAGCTGGCTGGGTTTGCCCGGGTACAGCCAGGATGCTCCTTAGAGGGAAGGAGGCTGAAACTCTAGCTCACATGTGTGGGGCATATGCTTAGAAGAGGCTAATCCTTGAAAAAGGACATTATACTGGGAAAATGTACGGTCAGCAAAAGAGGAAGACCATCAATGGGATGATTGACACAGTGGCTGGAGCAGCAGACTCGAGAAACCACAGGGATGGTGAGGATGGCACGGGATAGGGCAGCCTTCAGGTCTGCAGTTCATAGGTTCTCTATGTGTTGTAGTTTACTACATGGCATGTAGAACAAAAAGAAGAATGAAAGAGACTCTGTGGTTGAGGAATCAGAACTGATGATTCCCACTGAGTTCCTGCATCCAGTACAGACTTCCTACACTCGATCCTGACCAGGGCTGTCGCTCCTCCAATACTAGGTCCTCAGTTCTTTCCATCTTGCCACTCTGCCCTATTTATGTGAATTCCATATACTTAAGAGAAGTCAGCTGTCTCTCCATCCCTCAGTCATTGCTGTTGTTAGGTGCTGTCAAGTCGAGTATGATTCAGTGATTCTAGGGAAAAAAGATCCGAACCCTGTTCTATCCTGCACCATCCTCACCCTGCCCGACACACAAGAACTCATTGCAGCAGTCACCACATCAGTCCACCTGGTTGAGGGTCTTCTCCTTCGCCAACCCTCCACCCTTCCTGGCAACATGTCCTCCAAGGAATAGCCTCTCCTAACAAATGCCCAAAGTATGTGAGGATGAGCCTCATCATTTTTGCCTCCAAAGAGCACTCCAGTTGCACCCTCTCCAAGACATATTTATTTGTTCTCTTGGCCGTCCATGGACTGTTCAGTGCTCTCCTCCAACACCACAGCTCAAAGGCAGCAATTCTTCTTTTGGCATCCCTATTCCTTGTCCAGCTCTCAGTGTGCATGGCATGTTAGTTTATTATTTTTTAATCAGGACCACTAAAGCCAGAACTAAGCCTTTCCCCTGCAAAGGGCCCAGGGAAGTGATCGATTAGGACTGGACACATTGATAGCCTGAAGGAACTGGGGTTCCGCTGGTGAAGAGGGAAGAGGGGACAGGTAATGAATAGTTGTCCTGCAGTGCTGGAACAAGGGACACCCCATGGGGGCATCCTTCTGCTTTGCCTGTATTTGTCATTTTGTGGGTCCGTTTCCCATTTGTTGCTACCAGCCTATACACAAAACAGCATTTTTCATTAAAGGGTAAATGGGGAATTTTCCAGAACTACTGACTAAGCTTATTGGCTTAAATAGAGGGTGAGCTTGCCCTGCAGAGTGGGGAAGTGTTCAGCCATGTGTCCCTGGAGCCAGCCTCATTCTGCCTCATTCCTGCTGGCTCCTAGGAACCTCAATAGAGCAGCTTCTTACCCCCTCACCTTCCTTTCTCAGACCCAGACAGCCTTTATTAGAGCCCAGCCCAAATGTCAGAAACTCTGATTCCTTCCACCACCAGATGAGCGACCCCACCACTGAGTCCCTCACACAGGAAGTTCACCTATACTGCCAAGTGTTCCCTCGGGAGAATAGCTGTCTCGTCTTCCTCTTTTTCATTCAAGGCTGGCCACAGGTTGCTCATCATAGGAAACAAATGCACATGCATCAGAGGAAACCTGACCAGCCCTCCATGGCTCCTTAGTGCTGCAGAGCAGAAGGGAAGAGGTGGAGCCCTGTGGCCACAACTCTGGCAGGGATAAGCACTGACTCAGAACCCCACCTGTGTCTGGAGCTGCAGTCGTGTACTGGCCCTGCATGGGTTACAGGTGCTTCAGGGATGAACACGGCCCTGGGGTGCACTCAGGCCAGCAGAGAATCCATAAATACACACAGGGGCTCTAGGAGGATCCCACACACCTTCCTGGCCTCTCACCTGCTGGTCCTTCAGCCTGCCTTCATCACTTCTATAGCACATGCTCCTTCCTCTTCCTCTACCTTCCCAGCAGGCACCTGCACAGATGTCCACCTGTGGCAAGACATATGTTGGTGTTCTTCTATTAAGGGACGATATTTTTAGATTTTCTGGTGAGAGGGGCCACTATATGATCCAGTGGGACCTAAAGGGCTGGCAGGTCAGTACAGTTGTCCTCAGAGATGCCAGCCTCCCCCTGTGGGTCCTGCCTTCTCAATGTGTGTGCTGTTCATTCCAGAGTACAGGCAGGCTTCATTAAAAGCCAACACACTCCAGCACCTCATCCCCACTGCAAGGGGACTCTGAAAGGTTGGAGTTTTATTTCCATAGCTTCTGTGGGGGCGGAAGGGGGAGGGAAACTCCAGAGTGGGTTGGGGTGGTTGGGGTTTTTTTTCCAACCTTGCAAAATATCACATTTTTCCCAGTTGAAGGAAAATCCATTTTCTTTTGTGATGTGTCTGACTTGTGAAGTTCCGTCGCTGACCTGAGCTTGGCAGCCACTCAGAACAATCCCTGATCTCTTTCTTCTGTGCTGAGCAGTGGCCAGTAATTCCCTGGGCTGACGCGGGGCCATTTGTTTTCATCTCTAGATGAGTAGTGAGTGGAATTTGCTTTTGGTCATAAAATGCAGAAAGGATCAAAGAGACTGCATTAATATTGGCTTTTTTAAATCTCGTTTTATCACAAAGAAAACGGCTGCAGATGGAAAAAGGCAGGAGATCATTGTGCTGGACTCCAAGAGGAGCAATGCTATTAATATCGGTCTGACGGTCCTGCCCCCTCCGAGGACTATAAAGATAGCCATCTTGAACTTCGATGAGTACGCCTTAAACAAAGAAGGAATCGAGGTAAGGGAAGCAACGTGAACAGGACTTGAGGGAAGCATTACTGTGTCCCAGCATGCCTTTCTACACAGGGTGACCAGCCATTTTTTTTCTGTCCTCTGCCAGAATGAATCATGTTAAGAATTCTCCTGACTTTGTAACTCCTAGGGGAGGGAACCACACCTCTGCTTCTGCCTGGAAAGCTCTTATCTATCTCTAGTGTGGAAGATGAACACATTAACTTCCTCCGGAGACTGGTACTATCTTCTTACCGACCACTTCGCCAAATATGTTTAAGAAATTAGTTTCGGTGGTTATTGGGTTTTTCTAATAGTATGTGATATTTTAAATGAGGTTTTTGATATATGTTCACATGCAGGTGAATGTTTTCATTTTCTGACAGTTGGGGAGTTGGTAAATTAAGCCACAGAACGTGAGCCAGCAGAGTCTTTAGCATCTGTTGGTCTAGATATCAGAAACAGAGGAAGACTGAGCCACGCTGTTTCCCCACAAAGCCAGTCAGGGATCTAGTTGGAGTCACACAGCTCACCTGCTCTGCCAGCATTCAGTGTCCCTTCTACCAGGTCCTACTCTCCTTTCACAGGGGCTGATGCCAGTTTGAAGGTTAAATCTTACAGTCCACTAATGTAGAGAGAAAGGAATTAGTGGCCTGACTTAGAGATTCCACCAGGAAGAGGCTAGGTCCAGGGGGGACTAGGAGACTAGAGTGGGTATCTCTGTTGCCGCTGCTTTGTTGCATTGGGTAATATTTATCACATCCTCCTCTTTGGCCACAAGCTCTGGATTCCTAAGACACCCTTCTGTTGCTAGCGTGCATTTAAACACAGTTCTATTTGAAAGAATCGAAGGTGGAAGGAGCCAAGGAATCCTGGCCTTGAGACAGTGGACAAGTCCTTGATGGAAAGTCAGCTTTGAGGAAGTAAAAGAGGGTGGCCTGTGATCCACATCCACCACAGCTTATTTTGGGTGACAAAGGGATGGTGGAGGTATACACCACATAAGGTAGGGTCTGAACCCAGTGGCTGACATGTCTTTATACTTTGAAAGGTTGAACCCTTCACAGGAAGAGCTGTTTTTCCTAGAGGCCCAGGTAGCTCTGTGCATGTCTGCATGTGTTTGCACGCACACACACACACACACACACACACACACACACACACACACACATCTCACCACCACCATCACCACCACCACCACCCCTGCTCCAGGAACAGGTATATGAAAAGAAATGCATTCCCTCCTGGCTGGAGAGAGAGTTGACGTGGAGCCCTGGACTCAGGTCAGGCAGCCAGATGAGTCAATATACCCACTTGAGCAGCCAGGGTAAGTGCATGTGGTGGACGAGGACAGGGAGTAAAAAGAGGTGAGTGAGGGCAAGCAGAAGGGACAGAGAGGCAGCTGCCAGACCTCAGGAGGAGGCACCCAGGCTGCCGTGTGCGCAGTCCTGCTTTGAGACCCAGAGAAGCCAGGGAGAAGGGCCGTGGGCTGCTACTGAACTGCTGACTTGGACAGACCAAGCGCCTGCCAACTGGGAAGAGCATCCTGCTGGGGCCGGGCACACATTCGGTCACCCCATTTACCCGACAAGGTTACTCAGCACAGGAGCTTCAGATTCATACATGGAGAGGTTTTAAATGCAGCCAGAGCCAGAACCAGACTGACTGAAGGAAAAAATGATGCTTTCTCCTTTTAAAAAATGTTTTCCCCTCGTCCTAAGAGCTTCAGAGTCCATCAGGAGTGAAGGATCCCTCTGGGTTTGCCTTTGCTCTGTCCTGGAATGGAATTCTCCCAGTGTAGAAAACATTCCAATACAATACGTACATTTTGGAACAAATCGAGTTACTGCTTTTTCATCTCTGGATGGTGGCCCGTGGAAGACCCGTTGGATCCAGAAAGGAATTTGTGGGGATGGAGTCCCAGCCCAACATTATACCTGACTTTCCTAGTTTTCTTATTATATACATACTGTGAGGCTCCCCTACTCACACATGAGTCTCAACACTAGGATGCATCCAAGGTTGTAACCCACTGAGAAATTGAGCTGGAAAATTAGCTAAGAAATCTAGAGTCGAGGCTGCAGGCCGTGGATGTGGCTGTACCCCAAGGGCTTTGTGCCAAGGTGTCTGCCCCTTGCATGCAGGTGCCGGAGCGTGGCCCCTACCCTAATGGGGCTGTTTAAAGACTTGATGTGTCTAAATGTAATCGGGGTGCACTAAATGATGCCGTGTCTTTGCTTAGCAATGTAATCCAGTCTGTCATGAAAACCAAAGGGAGAATTTAACCAGCGTCATTAAGGAAATCCTTTTTCATTAGAGTATTATTCTTGAGAAAATTCTTTCAGGGCTATCTTCTGAGTGGCATCTATAATATTTCCCCAGGGAGGGGAAAATGCCATCAAGTAATCACAGATGGTTGCTTAGAATATTCTTTCAGTTCCTTGCTTTTTACTTGTTACAGAGTCTGTGTTTCTATAGAGGTTGGCATGAATGAATGTGCTGCATACTTTGAGTTTAGTATTAGGAGGGGCCAGTCCTTAGAGGAGAAGCTCATGCCTGTAAGGACAGAGTCAGCATAAGAGAAGACGACCTCTAACAAGGATACAGTGACCATAGCAGTGGGCTCAAGGGTGTCAGGGATAGCAAGAATGACTCAGGGTAGAGCAGTCTTGAGCTCCGTTGTTCATAGGGTCACTGTGAGTTGTAGTCAACTCAACAGCAACAGATTACATTGAACTTGGCTCAGTATAGCTGCCAAGTCTGTCAGCATCTATCTGTGTTGTACTGGGCATCCCCTGTCTGTAGGTGCCTCAGCTGGGCCTAGACACACAGGCCATGGAAATTGTGGTCAGCTCTCCTGCACCAGGGAAACAGGATTCCCCACAACCTACCTGCCACCTGGGAAACCAGTGATTGGGTAGTTTAGTCACGTGGTTATTTTTGTGTGAACTGCTGTTTTTGCATGATCCCCATGAATGTGAACAGCTTCTTGGAGACCAGGAGGAACCCCAGACTGTTCTCCAGCTTTGCTTTGGTTGATCCAATGTGACCATTGACAGCAATGGATTTTTTTAAGACTCTGCATTAGAATATGTATAAATCATCATACAATGACTGGAAAACCATTTTCTCCTGAGATTTGTGTAACTTGTGATTAAATTATGTAACAACTCAGCTGTTTGCGATTGCTACCCAAATCTTTATGCCAGATTCTTACCTAGCCAGGATTCTGTCCATACTTGCAAAGTAGTTACTCATTTTGACCTATGTTTAAGTGAGGGAGGCTGGGTGGCCTAGTGGTAAGGAGCTGCGCTGCAATCCCAAAGGCTCACAGTTCGAATCCACCATAGGACAAGGATGGACAATCTCCTCTCATGCACTTTACTGTCTCTGAAAACTCTCTGGAGAGTCAGCTATGGGTCGATTCCTACTAAGCAACAAACAACAGTAACATGGATGAGATGTTAAAGCCCTATAGCTTTGGAGCCTTCTGCATTTTTCTCTGAATCACAGCTTTCAGATACACACACAAATAGGCTTAGAGCACTTTTGGAGCGAGCACTGGGGAAAAGTTGAAAACACTGAATTTATTAAGAATGGGCCTTGCATGATGTTTTCTTCCTGTGAAATCAAAGAGTGGTCATAAAATTACCCGTTCACCCATGACGTGGTCTCATGTTGAATGGACCCCTTCGTACTCATCCTCGCATCTGCTCATGGGACAGAAGGACCATCAGCAAATGGGCAGTGGCTTTGACCTGCTGTCCTGTTGCCTTCTGGCTATTTCTGTTGCCAGTGATGTGTAAAAATAAAGTAAACTGGCAGATGGGAACCTCATAAGTCTTAAGCAATGAACAAATGGTTTAAATTAGTCAGAGTCTTGGAAAACAAAAGTAACAGTGTTTGATTACTTTCTCAAAGTAACAAAGCAATAAAAACCATTGCAGGAAAATGCCTTCTGACGGATAAAAAGTGTTGATAATCGTCTTTGGTTTTGTGTACACAAAACCAATTTGGTTAATATAGTGAAATACAAATTTTAGCTGTTATTTTTTTTAAAAGCAGTTGTGTTTAACTTATGCGCACTTTTAAGACCCAGCCCACTGCAGTTAAGTCAATTCTGTCATTTTCTCAGGCTGAATGCCTTTATGGGAGGGGACTGCCACCCTCCTCCTGCAGAGTAGCTGGTGGATTCAAACTCTCGACCTTTCAGTTAGCAGTCTGATGCCTTATACCCTGTAAGAGCTCCTTGCTACAAGGTAGCAATATTCAAATTTCATTTCTTGGACTATTTTGTTAAAAATAAAGTCTCTAAGAACAGGTGGAGTCAATAGCACAAGCTTTTGGGACAGGATATGAGTTAATGGAGCTCAAGCCATGCTGTCACTAAATCTCTCTCCTAATGCTGAAATCTCTTGATGACTGTGTCAAATCAGAGTTTGGTGCCATAAGAAGTAGAAAATTTAAAGAGGAGGTATGGCAAGACTCATGTTCCACCTCACACTGCCTTTGGGCTTCACACAGCATGTGGAGTTTCGCACCACTGACATACCTGTTAACAGCTCAAATTGTCCTTTTTAGTTCTTAAATGTGCCTGATTAGAATTCCTGAGATGTCATGACAGGAGTCCAGAATGAAGGCTGCACAGTAGAGTGGACCGGGGGGGGGGGGGGGGGGGGGGGAATTGTATAACAATGAAAGAATTTTTGTTTTTACTTTTCAAAGAGAAGAGTGAACTGGGGGGAAGGGGGTGGGCAGGGAGAAAAGTGCAACAATGAATGAATGGAAACCCTAAGTCTCTGTAAACTTTCATAAATATTAATTTTTAAAAAAAGAATTCCTGGGATGATATTAACTAGGAATGACAGTGACATACATCCTCGTCCTTTTCACAGTCTTGAAAGAAGCCATTTAGCATTTGATGTGTTTGAAAATGTCGTTCATCTCATGCAGCTAGGTTGCTGAAAGGTTTTATTGTGGATGAACTTCTAATTTTGTCATCTGGCAGGGTTTTTATCTGCACGAACTGAAGCGATGTGTGGTTTTTCTTGTTCCAACTGTTAGTCTGGTGATTTCTTATACTTACTAGTTTTTACATGTTGAACCAACTTTGTGTTGTCAGAATAAGTTCCGTTTAGTGGCAGTGATTATTTTTGGTGATTTGTAAAAAAAATTTGCATTTTTATATTTGTTTGGTTTCAAAGTTTGTATACATTGTGTTTCACACTATTCTTAATTCACACCGTGTGTCATACAATCATTCCAGTTCATTATGTTTTATAAAAGCAGTCACCATTGGACTGTGCCCATGTTTTGTATGGAAGTGAACCTGGTGGTGCATTAGGTTAGGTATTGGAATGCTTTGGCATTTGTATTCTTTTGTCCATTGTTGTCATTTACCATGAAGTTGGAACTGACCCATAGCTGCCCCTTGGGCAGGTTTTAAGAGACCGTTAATTGCATGAGAGAAGATTGCCCATCCTTCTCCCCTGGAGTAGCTGGTGGCCTCAAACTGCATGCCTTCAGGATTGCAGCACAGCTTCTTGCCACTAAGCCATCAGGGCTCCCTAGTCTTTTGAATGAACTGATTCTCCTTAGCCCTCAGTCCATTAGTCTTTTGAATTAATTGAATGTATACATTTTTGTTTTTCTTCCCTTTTCTTTGTTCTGAACAAGAGAGTCTGATATTTACACTTTAAAGGACTACTTGCCAGTTGTTTTTGTATTTAAGGCCCCCAGTCACTATTGACCAAGGTAAAACATAGACCATTGTGGACTATGTTCTGTCATTTCTGTAGACTTTTAAATGAATCTGTAGGAATTGTCACAAACATCTATTGTTCTTGATTTCGTATATAGTTCTTGATTTCCTTTTCAGTGTCCCCTCATCTTCCACACCCATCTTTCACCCTTTTTGCAGGTACAATTCCTCTTTCTTGCCTAGATGCTTTTGGGTATAAGACTGAGAAAATTTTCTTTCTGAAACAGGAAGATTAAAAGAGAAATGAAAATTTTAGACCAAAGGAATGTAAATTTAGATGCTACCTGGGGCTTTCCTTCTTTAAACTGTGTTTTGTTTGTAACAGGATATGACCCACATATGGGTTTGTTTGTTGTTGTTTTTTTAATGTTGGGTTTTGTTGTTGTTGGTTTTGGTTGTTTGGTTTTTGTTTGGGATTTTTGTTTTCTTTTCAAAAACTCTCTAAGAATAGAATATCTGAGCTACTTGTTTGGAAAATCAGTCTGAATTTGAAAACATGGAAGTGGTTGGGTGGTTGGGTAGAGTCTATCACTAAGAGAAAATGGACTTCATGTGTCTGTTGGCCACCTGAATGTTTTCCTCTGTGAAAAGTCTTCTTGTCTTTTGCCCATTTTGTAATTGGATTATTAGTCTCTTTCTTGTGGAGGCTGTAAGATTCTGTAAACTTTTATTACAAAACTCTTGTCTGAAATGATATTGCCAAATGTTTGTTCCCAGTCGGTAGGCTTTCTTTTCACCCTGTTGGAAAAGGTTTTTGATGAGCACAGAGATTTAATCTTTAGAAGGTCTAATTCATCAATTTTATCTTCTCCAGATTGTGCATTTCTGGCTATATTTGGCAGTCTCTTTATATCATAGTCTAAGCCTTCAAAGCATGGTCCCTGTTTGCCTCTTACGAACTTTATGATTTGGGCTTTACTCCCAGGTCTCAGATCCACCTGGGGTTGATTTTTGTGTATGGTGTGAGATGTGGATCCTGTTTCAGCTTCCTGCAGGTAGTAGTCTAATTTTGCCAGCACCATTTGTTGAAGAAGTTGTCATTCCCCCACTTAATAGTTGTTATTTTCTTGTTGAATATCAGTTGACTATAGTTAGATGGGTCCATTTCTGGATTTTCTGCTCTGTTCCATTGGTCTGTGTGCCTGTCTTTGTACCAGTACCATGCTGTTTTGGTTACTATCACTGTGTAGTGGTCTCATAAGGACAAATACTGCATAAGAATAATACTATAAAAATAGAAGAATAGCTACTAAAACATGTACAGGAACTCAAGGTGGGAAAGGGGGAGCGGAGGGGTGAGGATAGGTAGGGGTGAAACCACAGGGCTGCACAGTTTGGTGGATGGAGGGGGTGAAGCAAATGGGAAGAGTCAGGGTGAAAAGACAGGGTAGTGATGTCCAATGGTGATTGATTTTATAAAACATAATGCATGAGAATGGTTGTGAATGAAGAATAGTGTGAAACACAGTATATATCAACTTCATAAGAAAACCAATTAAAAAATAAAGTACAATATAATTTATATAAATGACTATCAAACACAGTATAAATGAAAGATTGTATAAAATACACAATGTGTATGAGTGAGACATAATGTAAAGGAATGATGCAATGATCAGAAATTGTTTTTTTAAATAAAAAAACAAGAAGAAATGATAAAAAGAAAATGGACTTTATTATCCCATATTTTCCAGAAAATTCTAACCATGATTCCCACTGAAGAGGAGAAGCAGAAGATCCAGGAAGCTCAGCTGGCCAACCCTGACGTGCCTCTGGGCAGCGCGGAGCAATTCCTCCTCACACTCTCCTCTATCAGTGAGCTCTCGGCTCGCCTCCATCTCTGGGCCTTCAAAATGGATTATGAAACTACAGAAAAGGTAAACACTTAGTAAAGAAGTGACTGATCCTACTTTCCCATTGAAAAGAACCTGGCTTTTAATGGTGAAGGTAGTGAAAATATCCTTTTTTGGAACAGGGTTTAGAGAGTGTGTTGATAATGATATAACTCTATACTCTATGATATACTCATATCATATCAAGTGAGACAGAGCTCTGGTGGCCTAGTTGGGCAAGGAGTTTCACTGTCAACCCACAAACAGGTAGTTCAAATCCATCAATTGTTCTGAGGAAGAAAGATGGGCAGTCTCCTGCCATGCAGCTTATTGCCTCTGAAAACCCACTGGAGGGTCAGCTATGAATCAGTTTTGACTGAATTACATGAGTTGAATTGTTGAATGGAGTCTAAGTGATCAACAGCTTTGTAGTGGGAAGGTATTTAAAAACATATCTGCCTGGTACCACCTCAGGGTAAATGATTTGCTTTAAACCAACTCCCCTTAAAAAATGCCAAAAACCTCCTTGAGGGTCCCCCCAATTCTATATGCTCTTTGTAGAAAACTTGTGTAACATAGAAAACATCTGTAGCCCCTCCATCTGATAATCAGCACCCAAGCTGGCAGCCACTGAGGCAATTAGCAGATCATTGGGGACCTTCTGAAAGTCTCAGTAGGAAATTGAAGATGAGCCCCTTGCAAGGAGTCTGTGGGAGGATGGAAAGACGGAGACCTTCATGGTTGAGGCTTGGGGAGGTTCATCATGAGGAGAGAGACAAAGAATCAGGTGTCTTTTCTGGAAATAAGTTGAACATTTTTGCAGCTCGAACAAAACAAGTGATACTGAGGAAAAGGGAGAGCTGGAAAATAAGTCAGATGTGAGCATAATTGAGATAAACTGCTCAAAGAAAGAGAAATAAAAAACGGAAATGTACTGTTTGCCTCTTCCTGCTGAGGGAGGTCCTTTGCTGAGATCTAGATGGGAGACAGTGGTTTGAGGGCTGCAGGAAGGTGCTGCTGTCCTGGACGCTTTTGGAAAATCAAGTGGGGATGACATCAAGGACAGCTGAGGTGATGATTGTGACTGGCTCAAACCAGTCAGCATGTTGAGATGACTTTCTCAAACAAAGTGAGATTGCATCAGGTAATTGAATCAGCCTTGATTGGAGATTGGCAGAATATGCTTGGCTTAACTGAAGCTGGAGAGAATGAAGCTGAACTGTCTGTCTTTGGGATCTAGACTTAAAGAGAGCTTCAGTAAGGACTTGGAAGTTCTCAGAGGGACCATAGAGAGGGCAATGACAATAAACTCCACATTATTGACAATAAATGTCAATAATAATAATTACTGAGATCACTGAGGAGGCTTCAAAGACATTGGTTTCCTAGTGAGCAGCATGGGTTGAGAAGTGACCACAGGGTGCCAAGAAGTCTTAGGGTAATCCAAGCACAAAGAGGCCACAGTTTCCGGTGTCATCTATGTATAAGAGAGGGGCAAAGAGGATGACAGTGGTCCAGATGCTGGGGGAAGTGTGAAAGAAGAGTAGTGAAAGGAGTTAGTGCTGGTCAGGGGCGAGATTGAGTACAGCATGATCTAAGGATCTTTCCAAGGCTTAAAAGGTGGGCAGATAGAGAATGGGGCCGGGGAAGACAACATCTGTCACGCTTACATCAGCGCCTGATGGTTACGGACCCTCATTTAGCCTCCTGCTTTCCAATGGGGAGACACTGATGATGAGACTGACCCTAGGTGCTGCCTTTTGGCACCTTTTTGACTCCTAAGAGCATGTGCACATTACATGAGATCAGCTGCTGCTAGAAAGAATGTCATTGATTATGGCCTTGTGCAAAAAGTTAAAAGAGAACAAAGAAAAGCCAAAATGTGCTGTATTTATCTTTTTTTTTCTTTATTTCTTTTTCTTTTCACGGAAAGGAAGTGGCTGAACCACTTTTGGACCTGAAGGAGGGAATAGACCAGTTGGAGAACAATAAAACTTTGGGCTTTATCCTGTCTACTCTCTTGGCCATTGGGAATTTCCTAAATGGCACGAATGTAAGTCTTTCATGTTTCTTATGCTCCTAATTCTCTAGCCTCAAAATTCCAGCCCTTCCTTTGCTGGTGGAAGTCTGGTCCACCAACACACGGTTAAACAACCAACTTTGGTATCTTCCTGCTAAGAACTGGAAGGAATTTTGTCTTTGAATGCCAAACGCTACTTTTCTGAACTTGCTTCTTGCTACTAATGAGCAGACTTGGCAAAATGAGCTTACTAATTTTCCTCACAAAGCTTGTCAACTCTCAAAATTAACATCAGGGTTATCTTCTCCCCATTCCCCTGCCACCTCTCCCAGCCTGGTCAAGTGTATACATCATACGCCCATAGAAGTGAAGATAGAGATTTTGACTCATGTGCTTTGGACATGTTATCAAGGGGCCAAGTCCCTGGAGAAGTCATGCTTGGTAAAGTAGAAAGTTGGGAAAAACAAACGAACAAACAAAAAAAACCACTGTGGCTAACTCAGGTGGCTCACTGGTTAGGAATTATATAGCTAATGCAAAGGCATTAGGTTCAAATCCACCAGCTTCTCCAAGGTAGAAAGATGGGCAGTCCTCTCCTGTGTGATTAACTGCCTTTGAAGACCCATGAGGGGTCAGCTGAGGGTCAGTTCTGACTCAATAGTGCACGACAACAACAACAACTTGAGGGCTTCCTGGGGAGTTTACAGAAACCTCTGTAAGAAACCACTGGAGGGTCAGCTCTGCCCACTCAAGGGCAGTAAGTCTCAACAAAATGGATTAATGTGGTGATTGCAGCAGTGAGCTCAAAAAGAGCAACTGGTAGGAGATTGGCACAGGGCTGGACAGTGTCGCTGTAGACTGGGTGGTTTTGAGTTAGAACTGACTTCAGTGACTCCTAACAGCAACAACACGCATTCTGATAATTAAAAGCTATTTTTTAAAAAATGGCCTAAATAGCTTTGGCCTGGAAGTAGCAAAATAGTCAAACAAAGGGCTGAAGAATTGCAAACACTCAGTGGCCAAGACCCCCAGCATCCTGATTTAGGGATAGATTTCCCAGGATGTGGTTTGAGTATTAAACAGCTGTAGGCTCATTCCACTCTGCGTGACTGATCCGCTTGTGATAAGCTCAGGAGAAAGGAGTGCCTGGCCTGAGGAGCTACAAATTACAGAAAAACTTAATATTGAGTTACAACGACAGCTCTGTGCTTTCCTGAGAGCCCGCATGAAATGTTTTTACCCCTGTCTGTTGTTTTCTGTTTACCCAACAGGCCAAAGCGTTTGAGTTGAGCTACCTCGAGAAGGTTCCAGAAGTCAAAGACACCGTGCACAAGCAGTCTCTGCTCCACCACGTGTGCACCATGGTGGTGGAGAACTTTCCGGACAGCTCCGATCTGTACTCGGAGATCGGAGCCATCACCAGGTCAGCCAAGGTACGTGTGTGGCCACAGAGGAACGGGCCTTTGACCCAGATGCTGGGCCTTTATCAGTTTCTCTGGGGAATCCAGGCTCTGTTATGTGAAATGCGCAATGCTCTTGCATGCTCTGCTCTGGTGAGTTGGTGGAGATGGTTTGGTTCACGTTGTTTCTAAGAGACTTTTGACTTCTTTCCCTATCTCTAATTCTCCTTCAGATGCTTGCCTGCTGAGGTATGTAAAGCAAGCCTGCCATTCCAGCCATGACTCCCAGGCCCACCTTTAGCAGTGTTACTCATCAGGCTTGGTTCTGCAGAATGTTAAGCTCCACCCCTTGCCTTATTTTTCTTATTAGGCATTGTTGTGTCATCTCCAACTTTTATCAACCGTATGTACCACAAACAGAACAAAACCCTGCCTGATTCTGTGCAGTTCTTACCATATGTTTTGTTTTCTTTGAGTTACTGTGTCAATCCGTCTTCCTTTAGGTAGTCAAAGATGTGAATAAGATTCAGTTTACTCCTCCTGTGATTTCCATGAGAACTTGACCACGTGTGGAGCCAGAAGGCAGAGAGTTCACTCAGTTTGCTGTCCTTACAATCTTGTGAGGAAGAAATATTTTTTATAGGACTGTAAACAGGAATAGCGTTGGTTCCTCAGCTGTAAGTGTTTAAGTTCAGTACAAAGTTAATAGCTTTGCCTTAAGATTTATTAGAAAAGAGAACACTGCAATTAATAACAGAAATCCTTACTACCTGCCCCTCAAGGAGTCACCAGGACTGAACAGTCCCCAGGGGCGGCCCATACACCTCAGCGCTCCAAGATACGAAGCGTCTCCTGGGAGCAGTGGGAGACTTAGCTAGAAGGAGCCTGAACAGGACACAAGAGCCAGGCTAACTCTGGAGAAATGGTCTAAACTGGGAGCAGAGATGAAAACAAACTGACCTTTAACACTAGGAAGCTCTGGAGTCTATTATGAAGTGGGAGGTGGAGGGGAGAGGAAGGAAGGGATAGAGAGAGAAGGGCTTTGGTGAGAGGTCCTCAAAGGAGCCCTCCTTCCCACTGCCCTTTCTCACAGGACTGGTTTTGAGGACCAGCTGCCCAGCTCATCATCAGGAATCTAAGCAGCCTGACCATGGACTTAACCTTGAGGCAGAAAGAGGCATGACCAGCGATCCCCTCCATTAGAGAGTTGACAGAGAACTTCTAGGCACAGAATCCTCTTTATGTAATAGGTACTGCAGAAGCTCTGGTGGAGCAGTGCTTGCGATCTTGACTGTTATCCTAAAAGTTGTCATTGCTGACCCACCAGCCCCTCCTCAGGGGATGAAAGTGGACATCTGCATCTGTGAAGATTTCCAGCCCCGAGAACCCAGTCGGGCCATTCTCCTCTATTTTCTAGGGTTGCTATGTGTTGCAATCAACTTGGTTGCAACAGGGTTTTTTGGCTTATGCTGTATCAGGGCCTGGTGGCACAGTGATTGAAGCACTCAGCCACTAACAAAAAGGAAGACGTAGCAGTGGGTTTCCACAATGACTGTTGTTGTTGAGTACCATCAAGTCAGAACTGACTGGGGATGACTCCTCGGGCTGCCTCTGGAGGGGTGAGGCTTCTCAGGCCTGTGTGGACTGTTGGCCAATCAGATGCGAAGGAGCATTGGTGTCAAGTGGTCCCTTACTCTGACTCCAAGGCTCAAGGAAAGTGGAAGCTAATTCCTCCTCAGAGCCTACTTGTCTGAGTTATTTACAGTTGTGCAACAAAAGACCTCCAAAATGAACTGAAAACAACAAAAAGCATGGATTGTTTTATAGGTGGTTCTTTCTTAAACCTTACAAGAGGTTTCAGTCAAGACATCAGATGAGGCTGAAATGATCTGAAGGCTTTTGACTGGCATTCAAGGTCTTTTGAGGGCTCTCCTTGTGTATTTGGCAGGAAGTTTTGCTGTAAACTCAAAAGCCGGGCTTCTCCAGCAGGTTGAGTCTACCAGCAGCACCATGGGAGGAAGATTGGCCAGTTTCCTTCCCATGCGTTTTTCAGACGTGCAATCCCAGGAGAGGGTCAGCTATACGTTGGCTCTCTCCGTTGTGTTGACTCTTGGGCTTTAAAGGGGCAAAGATTTCTTTCCAGCCTGCTCACCCACTGAGTGTTAGTGTAGCTCTCTTGCAAGGCTTTGGGATGTGTGGGTGGCCTCCTCCAGAAAAAGTAAGTGAGAGATCATGCCAGGTAAAAGCTCTGTCTTCTTTATGACCTGGCCTTCACATTCTGGTCCTCAGATCCACAACACTGTAAACATTCAAAGGCAGAGTTATTAGGCTCCACATTTAGAAAGCGTGAGTGTCAAAGCATTTGCAACAGCCTTGTAAAAATCCACACTTCCCATGACCACATCCCTTCCACAGCCCCAGCCCTGCTCTCATCCTTGATTATCCTAAAGCATCCCAGACTGATGTATGTACCATCAAGTGGGAACCAACCCGTAGCTGACCCTCCTGCAGGTTTTCAGAGGCAGTAAATTTCACAGGAGGAGATTGCCCATCTCCCACAGAACAAATGATAGACTGAAACCAAGTATCTTTACATTGGAAGCATGATAACTGGCTTCACAGCACAGCACAGTCCACAAGTCTTCCTGCATGCAGAAAGTAGCCTGTATGGAGCAGCGTACAAGGGAAGACTTCCTTCTCCAAACAAGGCCAAGTTCAGTTCTCTCTCTGAGATAGATACTAAACTTTTAGGGACAAACCTCAGCTTAAGGCCTGATGGTTTAGAATGAGGACTCTGAAGCCAGAGAGACGTGTGTTCAAACCTCAGCTCCCCCACTCACCAGCTATGTGACTTCTCACAAGTTACTTCCCTCTGTACCAGTCTGTCACCTGTGCGGGGGGCTAGAAATAGATTCTGAGACTATGAAGTTACTACTAAGCCCTATCATGAATGCCTCTGCAGGCTTAGCCTAGTATTGACTGGCCAGTCCCTACGCACTTGGCCACCTGATCTGCCTGCTTTTGAATTTTTGGAAAGAAAACCCAGGTGGGCAGCCAGCTGAGGGAGGTTTCCAGACCTTCGATATTGCTAAACTATGCAGATCCCTCAAGTCAGGTCTTAACAAGCCTCCTCGCCTAGTTTCAGTTGGCAGTATGCTCACCTCTCCTGCCGCTGTAGAGGAGTGGGCTCAGCTGTCGCTCTCTCTAGCACGTTGGCCCTCTTGCTCTGTGGCCCCTGCGGTACTGGGTACACACCAGTTGCTTAGAAGACACAAAGCTGCTGCTCATGCCTGTGTGTGTGACATGTCACTGCTCTACTGTCAGTCAGAAGAGCTACCAGCTGCGAAAGAAGCTAGAGGTGGAGATTTTGGGGTCAGCTGTCAAATGACTCAGCTCTTAAAAGCCTCTTGACTGCTGAAGGTTGTCAATCTCACGTCATCCGGTCCCTTTTCTAGACTTAACGTTTGCATAACTAAGTCCTTTTTTTCTCAATTTGCATTTCTTTCACCCTAATCATAAAGCCCATTCTTTTCCCCTCAGCTCCACTGCACTGTGGTGAAGTCCTTTCTGTCTACACTGCAGATTCTCTTCATTTCAGGCACAGTCCTTTTCCTCTAGGACCCACGAAAGTGTGCTTATCTGTCTCCAGCTTCTGCCTATGCGTGTCTTCTCAAGAATCCAGGCAGTTTGTTCACATCCAGACGGGCCTCACTCGGTTCAGCATCAGCCCCTTTCTCCACCCCTGTGTTCAGCCTGGCTTCACCCTGTTTCGGTGTCACAGATCCTATTGTAGACATGAACTTTGTTCCTTTGATCTCTCTGATTCCTTCTTTTGATCTCTTCTTTGTTCATTTATCCTTCTTGAGGGAAGGGCTGGAGATTGGTGGTCTCTCCAGCAAGTCCCCTCTGGAACACTCAGTTCAGGCCTTGCTCTTAAGACCAAGAATAGTGGCATCTAAGCAGCAGTGGCTTACTCACTGCACATCCTTCTCCCTCTGATTTGTGTTCGCCCTGCTCTTACCGTTTCCCGCCATCTCTGCCTCTCCATCTACCTCAGTCCCCTATCTTCAGTTCACTTGTCTGACAGATTATTTTCCTCATCTCTTATCCTTCTTAGTTTCTCTCCTTAGCTCCATATCTCTCACCATTGAGAAATGTTGTTCTCAAGGTTTTCATGACTAAGCTAACTCTCTGATTCATAGAATTTTTACTCTGGAAATTCTGTTAAGCCCTGACTCCAGCCTCTTCAGTCACCCCAAATTGTCTGCCTGTCCCTTCCTGCACAGTGAGTGATTTGTCTCAGATGTGTCTTACAAACGTGGTTTCACTGCTGGCCCAACCATGTGCACACTCAAACACATGTACACATGTACACACAAACATCCACAGGGAATAACATGCACATAGATGATACGCACACACACATGCACACCCACTCAGAAAGACAAACACACACATACACATGCACAACCAGAGATATGCTTATGTACACACTCACAGACATGTCTACAAACACATCCAAAAACAGTAACACACAGGGACCCGTACAAAGACACACTCACCCACAGAAACACACACATGTATACAGATGCACACACAGAGATAGCACATATGGACACACAGAGACACACACATATATCACACACACATATACATAAGCCTGGCAGGTTCTGTGCATCTTTCAGTGCTTGGTGATCTTCAGTCTATACAAGGAGCCTCCTTGAGGACAAGAATTGGATCTCATTTGGCATTTATCTCTGTGTTCCTAGTGTCAGGCTTGGGAGTCCTGGTTTGCCCATCAGTACTGGCTGGGTGTGTGAATGAACAGTTGAGACCCATAGTTTGTCATGTTGTGTAAGAGAGCTCATTATAAGAAAAGCTGCCTGCCCATTAGCTGCTGGCCCAGCACACCATAACCTTGTATGACTTGAATGTGTTCCTCCAGCCTTAAGTAAAATCTCCTCTTTGAAGAACAAGAGAGCTCTGAAAAATTTTATGAGGCATACACTCAGTTCACTCTGTCCCAGTGTTCCTTGATATCAGGACTTAATTTACAGTTCAAAGACTTAACTAAAATATTTTTCCAAATATGGCCAGAACAAGGTGGCACTTAATACTGAGTCTATTCGGAGAACAGTTTTATCACTAAATGATTTGATGTCAAGATAATGAAAAATACACATGTGAATAATTGTTAGCCAGTAAATATGCTTGTATTGCAAGATGCGAATTTGGCTTTGATGTCTTGTTTCCCGGAGGCGGCGTGGTTTCTCAGTTCAGGTTGGTGTCCAGCGGCTGCAGTGTGCTTGCAATGTTGTCTCTCTCTCTCTGATTTTCAGGTTGACTTTGATCAACTTCAGGATAATTTATGTCAGATGGAGAGAAGATGCAAAGCTTCATGGGATCACCTCAAGGCAATTGCAAAACATGAAATGAAACCAATGTTAAAACAACGAATGTCAGAGTTCTTAAAAGACTGTGCGGAGCGCATTATCATTTTAAAAATTGTTCACAGACGAATAATTAACAGGTAAGTGCAAGGAATTTACAGAGACAACAGTGTAATGGCTTGTTGACAATATTCTGTAAACCAAGATCTGAAGGGTAAACTTGTACAAACATCTGTGTAGATTCTTGGTACGTAGCAAGTGTCCTTAAGGATTGATGCTTAAGAGCCCTGGGTTCTTAATTTTTCTTACATTCATATGTGCACACCCCAACAACAATACTATTGAATATAGGCATTGGAAAGAGTCTCAAAGATAATTTGATCTGATAATCCCACTTCATCAGGAACTACATTTATACTTTTGTAATAACTTTTTCCCTTCATTTCTTCCTCTCTGTAAATGATTCTGCCTTTTTAGAGCACCTTCTTGTGTAAGGTGACTCAGCGTACTTAAAAGTTAAATGTGTGTGTGTGATCTGAAATAAATCCTTCCTTCTTTTCTCCCTCCTTCCTTTTCTTCTGTCTCCCCTTCACTTCCTCTGCCCTCCTCCTTCCTTTGAACTTATATGGGACTTAATTTTTCCCCAAAAAATTCCAAGAAAATTAGTTGATGCAGCACACTATAGCAAAAGAAAAAAGGCAGATAGGTGAGGAAACAGGAAACTGCAAACAACACAGTTCCTCCAAAGACTGAGATCCTGAGATCGCCACCTCAATCTTTAAAATGCCTGGTTATCTCATCTGACATGTGATTTTCCCCCAGCTCATATTACTTGGTGATCCTACTTCCTGAGTCTTGATTCATTCTGTTGGAAAGGAGGGTATTTTTTTTCTTCTCTTTTGAACAGGGTAGACTCTTCCTTACAGATTAATAATTATATATTAATCCAGACTTGAAAAATTTAGTTGTTAAATCTTTCTTGCTGTACTATCATTTTGACTTCACGGCTGACCTCTGTTTTGAAGCATATTATAAGAGTTTCGTTGCTCTTAGCCTGTTTGAAAAAAGGGAGGGAAAGAATGTGAGTTGGCTTGACTCTGCAAGCTTTATGAAGCAATAAATTATCAAATTAAAAAAAAAAATAACTGCTAACAACCCAAATAGTTTCTGTTTGGAATGGCATGAAACGGGAACATTCTAATGAAAGTCTTAGGAAGCTATTGTATTTGACCACATTCAGCATTTTATGCTATAATGTGTTTGCACTGAGTGTTCTGTTCTCCTTGGTAAATCTGGGCATCTATTTATGACGGTTGTTTCTGTCTGACCTAAATCTTTTCATTGCCCACCTCAACCCCCAAATGGGGACTATTAGGATGCACCAGGAATTCACTGCAGTGACAGTTAGTAGTAAAAGTGACATGGGTGAAGGGAGGTTTGGTGGTATGGCAGTGCCAATCCAGATCACTTAAGCCATAGAATCCTGGGTTCAGATGAAATCTTTAGCAGGATACTTATATGTAGCACTGGTTAAAACACACATCCATGCTTGCTGAAACTGAAAAGGACTTAAAGTGCTTGCTGCAGAAGGTCAAGGACAACAGTCTTCAATATAGATTGAAGCTCAACATCAAAAAAAGAAAGATTCCCACCACTGGGCCAACTGGCAGCACCATGATGGATGGAGAAGAGATTGAGGTTGTTAACAATTACAGCTTGCTTGGCTCCACAATCAACACTCTTAACACCAGCAGTCAGGAAATAAAAATATGAATGACATTGGGAAAATCTGCTGTCAGGATCCTCTCCAGAGAACTGAAAAGCAACAGTGTCAGTCTAGAAAAAAGGTGTGCCTGATCCAGGCACAATTACTTGCTGTGCATCGGAGAACTGGACAGTGACTAAGTATGACAGGAGAAGATCTGATGCCTTTGAGTTGTGGTGCTGGAGAAGAGTCTTGAACATACTCTGAACCACCAACAAAACCAACAGGTTTGTCTTGGAGAGGGTGAAACCAGGTTTCCTCTTGGTGGCTCGGATTTTAAAGTTCCATCTCACATACTTTGGGCATGTGGCCAGGAGGGACTAATCCTTGGAGGACATCATGCTTGGAAGGGTAGAGGGACAGTGCAGGAGAGGAAGACCCTGGAGGAGATGGATTGATACAATAACTAGGGCACTGAGGGTAGGTGTGTCAGAGTCAGTGAGACTGGCTTAGGATAGGGCAGACTTCAAAGCTGTTGTACATAGGATCGCTATGAGTTGCAAGCAACTTGACTGCACATAACAACATGTCATTGGAGATTATGATTCAGTATGGTTCTAGATGATGAGTCCCATAGGCAGGAAGACACTCAGTGCACAATAGTAGCCCCAGTGGTAGACTTGAGTGCACCAATAATCATGTAGATAGTATAGGACTTGTTATTATGTCTTTTCGAATTGGAGCTGACTTATAACTGCCCCTCCTGTGGGTTTTCGGAGGCAGCGAATTGCATGGGAGGAGATTGCCCATCTTTCTCCCACAGAGCAGCTGGTAGATTTGAACCATGTGTCTCCACATTGGCAGCACAGCTTCTTACCACTAAGCCATTAGAGCTCCCTAGTTTGGTGTTAGGTGTATCAAGTCAAGTATGACTCATAACAACCCTATGAAGAACAGATCTGAACCCTGACTTATCCTATGCCCTCCTTATCATCTCTGACACACTCAAGTCCATTGTTGTAGTAACTGTGTCAGTCCCTTGCATCGACGGTCTTCCTCTCTTTCACTGACCCTTAACCTTTCCAAGTATGATGTCCCTTTCCAAGAAATAGCCTATCCTAGCAACATGCCCAAAATATGTGAGATGAAGTTGAGCCATCCTTGCATCCAGACAGCACTTCAGCTGCACTTTTCCCAAGACATTATTTGTTCTTTTGGCAGTCCATGGGATATTCAGTGCTCTCCTCCAGCACCACAACTCAAAGACATCAGTTCTTCAGTCATCCTTAGAAACATCCAGGTGATGTTTCTTTTGTTAGATAAGAGGTTATCACAAGTTGGAGTTATGCTGTTGCCACAAACAACAGCTCCATCCCTTTGAAGTAAGGATGATGGGCTTTGAGTACAGTGGCCGTACCTTTCCCTCATTGTTCTGTGACATGAAGCCCTTCGTTTCATCCTTGCAGATTCCACTCCTTTTTGCTCTTCATGGGCCACCCGCCCTACGCCATTCGAGAGGTCAACATAAACAAGTTCTGCAGGATCATCAGCGAGTTTGCACTGGAGTATCGCACCACCAGGGAGAGGGTTTTGCAGCAGAAACAGAAGCGAGCCAACCACAGAGAGAGGAATAAGACCAGGGGGAAGATGATCACCGATGTAAGTGTCATGAAATCCATCTGTCTTTATTGCGTGTTTTGATAGTGAGCTCAACCTTACAACTTCACCACAGCATGGATGCTGTGTGAGGGTGTTTTTATTTATTTCTTTTTGGACTATAAGTGGGGGGAAAATTCTTCCTTCAAGAAGTGATCTTAAGCTACTCCTTCCCATATATTTGAAAAGATGCCATTATATAAATAAGGGCTTCAGCCATTTAAGTTGAAGAACTCATTGGCAATTGTTTCATGATTTTAATAATCATAACTGTGTAGTATAACCAGTGAGTTAAAAATGTAGATCATCTTTAAAGAGAAATCATTGATATGCTTACTCTTTTTTTAACATTTTATTACTTTGTGTGTGTGTATCATCAAATCAGATCTGACTGGTACAGGAGGAGATTGCCCCTCCTTCTCCAGCAGAACATCTCAAACCACATACCTCTTGGATTGCTGTGTAGCATCTTGCCACTAGGCCACCAGAGCTCCCCAGTATGCTACTCTTAAGACGTAGTCTCATGGATGCTTCTTGGCAGTTCGTTGAGTTGTAGCAAAGCAAGATGGGAAGAGGTCCCGGGGTACAGTGATTCAGCAGGCATTTACTGGCAGAATCCCGGGGTGACTGTGCACACCTCTGTGTCTCTCCTGCTCTTGGGGTCTTCCTTAACCTGCCCAGGTGCATTGAGCCCTTAGAAGGATGCCACTCAGTAAGTGGAGGGAGAAGTGCATGAAGATTCCGGAGACAGAAAAAGATAGACAGTGCAGGTCATTTTTCCCCTCAATGTATTTTTCTAAAACATGAAAGCCAAGATGGTGTCTCACATGTCTCATCTATCAGTAGGGTCATGTGCAAGCAAAAGGCAGACAGTTTCTGGGAATTCTCTCTGGCCATTTACTCCTCCTAGAATAGACTCAGGGAGAATCAAGTCGTTTTTAAATGACTATTTTTATCTGTTTGGGACTTGCTGAAAGGCTCTTCATGAAGACGTCTTTTTTTCACATGGATATGTGTTGATTCAGGGAATGAGCTTGTACCAAATGGCCCCATGGAGAGAGCCATCATTGTGGGGGCTGCGAATTTCCATTGACTACAAGTCGAGTGGATTTCTTTGGGGAGGAATACAAATCTGTTAAGAAGATCTCATTGAGGCAGCTTTCTGTGCTCAGCTGTACCTTCATATTTACAGAGGCCACTTGATTACCACTCTCCTAAGTAGGGAGTGCTGGTGGCCTAGTGGGTATGGAGTTGGGTGCCAGTTCCAAAGGCACGTGGTTTGAATCCATCCTCTGCTCTTCAGGAGAAAGATGGGCAATCTTCTCAAGTGTGAGTACAGCCTTTGAAAACCTGGAGGATCAGTTATGAGTTGGTTTTGATTCAATGGGACATAACGACAGTACAGATTTCTATTACTAAGGAGTCCGACTTTCACACAGTGACCTTGAAACACTAACTTCGAAACTGTATTACAATTTCAAGGCAGTTCTGAGGACAATCTCCTCACCACCTACTTCCATCCAAATCCCTCTTTCCTTGGACTTGTTTTAGAATTTTGGGGACGCAGAGACACAGTTTTGTCGACAGGACACTTTCTCTCTCTCTGACACTTTCTCTCTGCCTCCCAGCTGAATCTTCTGTCCCCTCTTCTGAAATCTGGTCGCAATAGTGGCCTCCTGCTCCTGGAAGACAGCAACGAGAAAGCAAATTGAATCCACTTGGGCAAACTGTAGCCCACGTTTCATTTCAAAGGATTATTTTTAAAAGTTTTAAAAAGGGATCACTTATTTTTCTGGAAATGAGACACATTGGAGAGTGAAAAAGAAAAGCCCAATGTGTTTATGGTTATGAAAACACATCAAAATTTTTTGCCAAATTCTTGAGATTTTTAATGATCCCAGTAATTTCTTAATTCTGTCCTTCTCTGAAAACATCAAGCTTTACTAGTTACAAATGTTTCTAGATTTTAGTAGAGGCTTCTAGATTTTTATTCAAAAAACATTTACATTTGCTTTAAAATCGGGATAATAATTTCTTCAGGGTTCCAGCTCAGTGCCCTGAATGGTTTTAAAGTGGTATCATTCCTGTAGAAAGATTGCCATCTGCTGGACTATTAGGAAATTGCAATTTAAGGTAAAGTGAGTTTCCTATTTCACATTTCCTTTGTTACTGTATTTGTTGAGTAACCTAGAGTCTTAACCAACTCATCAGTGGTTCTCCAGTGGGTTCTCAGAGGAAGTAAATTGCACAAGATGAGACTGTCCGTCTTTCTCCCATGGGGCAGAGCAGCTCTAGGATTTGAACCATGTACCTTTGCACTGGCAAGGCAATGCACTTACCACTAAGCCACCAGAGCTCCACTGATCACTGAGGAAGATATGAACTAAACTCATTGGAATCGAATCAGAACCGTTTGATAGGTAATGCTTCAGTGGGTTTTCAGAGTCCGTAAATTGCAGGAGATTGACCATCTTTTTTACTGGAGAATCTGGATTCATACCACCTGGCTTTAGGATGTCAGTGCAACTCCTTACCCACAAGGCCACTGGAGCTTCTAGAGAGGAAGATATCAAAGCAATGAAAGAGAGGGCTTTATCCAAAGATTCCAGACCCTGGTTAGAAAACTACATAGACACAATGTAAACCAATGAGCAAAAACCAGGAAAAAATTTAGAATCCAGAGAGATCTTCAAGATAAGAACAAAAAGAGATTTTGGAGAAAACTCTGTGCAGTAAATTATTTTTTAAGGCAATATATTACCAGAGAAATAGAGAGGGGTGAGGGAGGGAGAGTGAGAAAGAACACAAGAATGGAAATTGTAACAGTTAAGCCAAGAGGTTATTTTGGAAAAGCCATTATTTGCTAAGACAAAAATCTGGGGGAAATCTGAAGCTCCTGTGTGCCAGACTCTTCTCTCCCTTTACTGCGCTCATGAATGGCTTCCTTCCTCATTTCCTAGGGACCCTCCCAGATAAGAGGCCCTGAGAGACTCAGGACAGCTATGCATTGCTTAATGTCAGTGCAGACAGCACACACCATTTCTACATCTGTGCAGTACCACAAGATTTGCTTGTCTGTTTTTAAGAGAAAGCTGCTCTCCTTTTGTTTATTATTTCCCAGCAGCAATTTCTAAGGGTGCTCTAGTGGCCATAGGAAGGAGCTCTGGTAGCTTAGTGGTAAGGAGTTGTGCTACCAACCTAAAAGAACATGGTTTGAGTCTATCCGCTGCTCCTCAGGAGGAATGGGCAGTTTCATGCCGTGCAATTTACTGCCCCTGAAAAACCCCACTGGAGGTTCAGCTATGAGTCACTTCAGACACAATGATATAAAAGCAACACAGTGGCCACAAGGAGTTGTGCTTCAACCCAAATACCACATCTGGTGAGCTCTGGTGGCAGCCTGATTTCACCCTCTCCAGGGTGAGCCTGTTTGTTCTCCTGGCAGTGTATATTCAGTGGCAAGAAGCTGCACTGCAATCCCAGAGGGGAGCGGTTCGAATCCACCAGATGCTCTGCTGGAGAATGAGGGACAATCTCTACCTGTACCAGTCAGATGGTACACGCATACACAAAATAATAAAAATATAATAATAATAATAATAATAATAAAAGACCACATCTCTCTGGTGATTCCAATCCACCTCTTCTGTAGGTGAAAAAAAAAATGGGCAGTTTCCTCCAGTACCATTACAGTTTTGAAAAAGAGAATATGAAAAGATGGTTTTAAAGACCCCAAGGCCAGGTTCTTACTGCATTTAATGATAGGATGCAGGCAAATGAGGCCCAGGACATACATGGCTCTGGGCTTTGGTGGGTGGTGGACGGCAGCAGGGTGCTTCAGGGCCTGGGCTGCACCTACTGCTGGAGTGAGCAGAACCGCAGGTAGAGCTGAGCATGACTGCCTCCTTCTTCACTCACCTCCTCTCACTCCGCTCTCCTCACTGCTGGTGGCACCCCTTCCTCTGGCTCCCACATCAGCAGCAATGTCCTTAAGGACAACTAGAAATGTTCTCTCATAAGGCTTTAAATAAATACATTACTCGATGACACAAAACAACAGCAACAATATCTGTACAGTATTCAGATCACATTATTTCCTGTTTCAGAAAACAAATCACAGACAGTGTATCGTGGACGTTAAGCAACACGTACCTATATTCTTTATCCTTGTAGCCAAAGCTGGCTGTAGACAGAATGATGACACAGACATCCCACCTCTGGCTCTTTCTCCTGTTGTCCATCTCCAGACAGATGGTGAGAACACAGGCTGACATGACTCAGGAAGAGACAGAGGAAAAGGTGTCTGGGTAATCCTTTGTGGGGCACCTGCCTCTCTCAACCCCAATTTCCTCTTCTGAGTACAAGGAACAATTAGTCTGGGGGCTACTGAGAAAGCACAAGATCTTCTGTCTGCATTATCGTGAATGTGTGCTAATTGCTGAAAATGCTACCATGCTGATCAGTTAAACAAAAATAAACTCTAAGATAATGAAAGATAGTGGGGCAAGACTGTCACCTCTTGTCACAATGCCTCTTGGCTTAGGCATTCTGAGGCATGATGGTTGGATGCATTTTATCGTTGTTGTTGTTATGTGCCTTTGAGTGACTCATAGCAACCCCATTTACAACAGCCCTGAAACCTCCTCTATCCTGTGGCAACTTGACTGTCTCTGACACACTAGTCTCATTACCCCAGTCACTGAATCAATCCATCTCATCAAGGGTCTCCCTCTCTTTTTCTGTCCCTCCACCCTCACAAGCATGACATCCCTCTCCAAGGACTGGTCCCTCCTTGCAACATGTCCAAAGTATGTCAGATAAAGCCTCAGAACCCTTGTCTTCAAGGAGCAGTCTGATTTCACCCTCTCCAGGGTGAATCTGGTTGTTCTCCTGGCAGTCCATGGTATTATATTCAATACTCTTCAATCCTCAAAAGCGTAAGAGTTCTCAAAAACAAAAACAAAAAAACCAAAAACCCTTCACATCCCATTTGCTAGCTTGTCCTTGTTACCTGTGGGCAAACACTTAAATTGAGGGTGTATTTAAAATCAAGAGATTTATGTGCCTTTTCACCCTACATTTCTTTTCCAGAAGAATTTTCTTTTAATATAAAGACACTTAAGGCAGTGTGTCTAATATCCTAAGAACCAAAAGGATCATCTACAAGAAGCTGAATGTCAATCCTGCTTTATTATTTACTCTTAGAAGATTTCCAGATGAAGCTTCCTCATTTACTTGATATGGTGTGGAAAGAATAAGAGTAATTCTACATCCCCAAACATTTGTATTTGTTTCTTCTTTATGTTATGATAGCTTCTGGAGCCAGGTGTATCTTTCTAGCCATGCGTTGTTGAATGACATTATTTTCTATTTCTAAACATTTATCAGTGTATTAAAAGTGTTTATTTTTTTTTTCAACCTTGCCCAAAGAGGAACGAATAAGTCACTGTTTCCAAACTAACAGGCACCAGAAATAGTCAAACAGTTTGTCTGTTTTCATTTTCCTTGTATTTTGGAAGTCCATGTAAGAGCTCCGCTCTGCTCTGAGAACATTTGTACAGTTTCTACTCACTGTCGGCCAGATCCTCCCATCCAATTCACATGGAGCAGAAAATGCTTTAGCAATGAAGGGGGGATTAAAAAGGTAGAGAGGAAGAATCTAATCTGGTGATAAATTAATTTAAAGTACCTGATATCAGCCATGTAAGTACGATGGAGAATTCATAAGATTGAACAAGAACTGGATTCTGTGTTTTTGAAGAGAGAATAGCATGAAACATTCTACTTGTCTCATTTTTCTCTTTCCCTCTCTTACCTGTGCATGGAAAGGGTTAGACCTAGTAGCCTGAGCAGGAAGGGGCCCAGCAGCTGAGAGGGACCAGACAGCTGACAGGAAGGACAAACAAATGGGGACACTTCCTGAAGTCCTGATGACCAGAGGCAGCAGTAGGTACAGGAGAACCTGGCCAGTCACAGGGTTGGGAGTGAGGTCTGTGGTGGTCAGTGGTCAAGGAACCAGGTGAACCAGTTATCAACAACGCAGGCATTGTTCAAGGAGAAAACGGCCCTGGCGGCTGGCCTGCAGCCCTGTTGTAAGTTCCTCCTGACTTTGACCTTGTGGGGAGAGGATCCAGGCAGAGAGGTCCTAGCAGCTCCCGCAGCAAGAAGAGGTACCTGGCTGTGGTGACCAGCTTCTTGGAACTTGGTGTGACATTGATGCGATCTCATCGTTGATGACTCCTGTGCCTTCTAAGAGTCCCTCTGTCTTTTCTGCCCTGTCCTGTCCTGTCCTGTCCTATCCACGAGTAGACTGACGAAGAGGATGAAGTTGAGGTATGACTGCTTTAAAACATGACGAATGCCACATCTGATCTTCCCATGATTACTCATCAACCTGCGTTAACATAACCAGCGTGAAGTGTGCACCATTCAGTGCTGTGAACCATGCATGTGTTCTCGGCTGCTGGTTTTTGTGTGATCACTAACCACCTTACAAGCATTCCCGTCATGCTGTGTGTGCCAGGGACTGAAGGGCTAACTGCATTTTCGTAACTGTCTGGGCATATTCCTGAGTCTTGGGTTCTGTCAAGAGTGGATCTTTCCTTATTGACTGATGAAGTGGACAAGGAATTTTGCCCTCCATTCCCTTGCCTGGCCCTCGTGGTAAATTATCTCTGAGAACCTGATCTAGAATAGCCATGGACAGCCCTAAACCCAGAGAGGAAGTGTACTGCAGCTAAGGGCCAGGCCAGAGGGGATGTCCTCTGCCTGTGGGCAGCCTCTGACCTGTGCTCTCTCCTCCACTGGCACCTAGGGGCTCATGAGTATGGCAGGTGTACCTCCTCCTGAACCTGGGGGCAAATGTGACGAATGAGTCCCGGGTGGGGTGACTTGGCCCCAGAAAATGAGGAGAGGGCCGTGCATATGGCCCCAGTCACGGACGTGTCCTGGATTCTGCTGCCATGACTGACACATTGGAAGAAAAGAGGAAGCCAGGCATCTGCGGAGCTGCTGTTTACAAACATTAATCTAACTGACTTTTATTTTTCATCCAGATGTTTGGCATGGTGATCATACGCCCCAGTGTTTCAGCTTACCTCTTTTAAAACATATATGCCCCCACTCTTTGTTCTGTTGCTGTTAGAGAATATCATTGTGTGTTTGTAATGCTTGTTAAAACAACTAAATTTTTATATATTTTTATTGATATTTTAATGAAAGTTTATAAAAAATTTGAATTTCCACCCATTCATTGTTGCACATTTTCCTTCCTTCCCCCTTTGCCCCAGGGAAAAAAAAAATTCTTTCGTTGTTATACAGTCCCTTCCCCTCCCCCTTCCCCACTTTACTATGCAGCTCTTATTCTGGACTCTTGTCATGCCAATAATACTGAATCATATATTCCTTTTATACAGTTCTCTCCCTCATCTGTTTCAATGTCATGTGCATTATTTATCCCCTCTTTTCTTAGTTTCCCCCACAACCCCCATGTCAGTCCTGCTTTATAAGTGGCATTATGCAGTATTTATCCTTTTGTGACTGAGGTATTTCACTCAGCATAATGTCCTCCATGGTTTTTGACACGATCCAAGGTAGTGAGTGTGGCCAAACACTGTTTCAGCATGAATTTCAGTGTCACGTTCTGATCTGACATCCTTTTCCACCCCTATCCCCACCTTGAACTTTTGATAAGTCACTTAATTTCAGAGGGGCTGTTTCCTTCTCGAAGTTGTGAGGGGGGATTCTTGTTGTTGTTGCTAGTTGCCATCAAGTCAACACCAGCTCATCATGACCCTACAAACAACAGACCTTGCCTGATTCTACACCATCAATCTCTGATGGGATCGAACCCATTGTTCCAGTCACTGTGTAACTTCATCTTCTTGAGAATCTTCCTCTCATGCTGACCCTCCACCTTTTTCCACCATGATGTCTTTTTTGAGCCCAAAGTATGTGAGATGAACTCTTACCATCCTTGCATCTAGGGGGCACCTTCGTTACACTAGGGTGAATTGTGTGGTTGTTCTGTACCGTGGAGTCCCTTGAGACTCATAACGACCCTACATACAGCAGCTTTGATCCTGCTCTGTCCTGAGCCAACTTTATTGTCTCTGACACACCTACCGCATTACCCCAGTCACTGAGTCAATCCATCTCATTGAGGGTCTTCCTCCCTTGTGCTCACCATCCACCCTCCCAAGCATATGTCCCTCTCTAAGGACTAGTCCTTCCTTGCAACATGCCCAAAGCATGTCAGATGGAACTTGAAAATCCTTGACTCCAAGGAGCATTCTGGCTTCACCCTTTTTCTAGGATGAATCTGTTAGTTCTCCTAGCAGTCCGTGGGATATTCTACTCTTCTCCAGCACCACAACTCAAAGGCATCATTTCTCTCTTCTTCTATCATCCCTAGTCCATGTCCAGCTTTCTGATGTATAACACGTAATTGTGACGACCATAGCTGGACCGGGTGCACCTTAGTCTCCAGACTGACATCGTTGCTCTTAATTTTATGTGATGCAGTGATTGAACCCTACTTTTGAAATTCCATCATTATCAATGATATTTAGAAAAATTTCAGCTGCTTCCTAACACAAAATAATAGTAATAATAATAGAAATAATTCAGTATGCCTGCTGTAAGGTGTGTTTCCGTTTTGTTGACCTTGCCTTCTCATACCTTCCTATAGACTCAGATGGTTTGTCTTCAGTTAGTTGACAGTCTCCATGACTGCCATAACTAACAGATGCGGTAATATACCTGAACAAAACAGACAGAGGACAGGACGTTCTCGTGGGCTCAAAATTTGATAAGCTTGTGTTACCTTTTGAGGGATTCTACTGCACTTCTTAACTCCTGCTTGGTTTTGCAGTCTGGCAAGTTCCTGGGCAGTTCTCCGGCACCTTCAAGCCAAGCGCAGGGTCTGAGCTACGCTGAAGATGCAGCCGAGCACGAGAATATGAAGGCTGTGCTGAAAACCTCGTCCCCCGCCACCGAGGACGCAGCCCCCGTGCTGGGGATCCGCACGCGCAGCCGTGCAAGTCGAGGTAACTCCCCGTCAGGGCGGGGAGGGTCTCCTTGGGCTGTCCACAGTGCCAGCCTTGTGCCCATCACAGGGGCACTACATCCCTGTGCCTGGTAGGAGCTGGCCCCCAGCCCCCCAGCCCTGCCAATGCTAAGGTAATCACGTATTTTCCTTTACCCACACCTCCCTGATCCATTTCCACAAGCTTCATCCCCAATCCAAACCACACTCTTTGGAATTGTTCTTGTCAGTTAATTCTCATAGATTAAAGTGAGTGTCAGCAAACTCTAACCTATGGGCCAAATGTGACACAAATTTCTTCCAAAACAACCCTTCTTGTAAACAGGGCTTTATTGGAATACAGCCACACTTTTTATGTATTTTATTTATTTGCATATTATTTATGGTTGTTTTTGTACTGTAATGGCATCATTCAGTATTTGAGGCAGAGATGATAGGCCTTCAAACCTAAAGCATTTACTCTCTGACCCTTCACATTCTCCTGTACCTCCTGGAAGTTTACTAACCCTTTCATTAAAGCACTACCCCTTTTTGACTTTTTAAAACTCAAAGGCAGAGATGAGCCATAAAACTCCAAGGTGAAAAAGACAGGATAGAGTTTTCAGATCTGTTTTCTATTTAGCTTGGAAGCTTCTTATACTTTAATTCAGAATTTCAGATTTTTTTTTATCTGAGAATGTTTCTGTTTCCCTGGTCTTGGCAGATGCACTCTGACCCGAGCTGTTGTTGATATGTACTGTTGATTGTCCAGCGGGTTTTCAGAGGTGGTAAATGGCACAAGGAGAGAGATCTCATTGTAATCCTTCTCACCTTCCTCACTCACTGTAAAGCAAAGCTTGGCAACTCATGCTGTCATTTAAGACCCTGTGTGGTCTAGTGCTATGCTGTCTTCCAGACTTTGTTTATACTTATTCACACATTGTGGAAACCGCCTTACATAGCTGAGTCCCCTTGTTGCCCATGCGGTGGTCTGCCTGGCCAGTTCCCAGTCATGTCCAAGGCCACCTCCTCCAAGCATTTGCTCTCTCAACAGACCACTTCCCCCTTTGATGCACTCCTGCAACCTTAGTTGAAACTTAACGAAAGACTAAATACTTCTTATTTAAGCTTCTGGAGCATAGGATGTTTTCCTCTTAGTATTCATTTAGCAGACACAATGCCCACAGCTAAGAGAAGCCCTATAATATAGTGTCCAGACTAGTGTGCTTTGGAATGTGAAAAGGGGTATAAGTAATAATTAATGTTGAAGAATCCACAAACCTAAACATACCACGTCAACTGGATGGTGGCTTATCTGACACAGGACATAAACTTGGTCATGAATAATGAATGCAGTGTCCATCAGGCACCTTCTTAGGTTCTAGTAGACGTTCACAGGGACAGGATGAAGAAGGATCGCTAGAATCTGGGGAAACTCCCAAGTCGACCCACCAATGATTTCTAGTTGATTTTGTCTGCAAAGCAGTGTTTTGGGAATTTTACCGCTCTCATCTATCTTAAATATGTAAAATTAAGGCTGGTAGTAATTACTTCAACAGAAAGGGGAAAACAAATGAAATTTGTTTCAAGGTCCGTGTTTCCTTGAGAAGAAGTAAAGTCATTGTTCCATAATGATATTGGAGCTTCTTAGAACCAAAGGGCCACAATTTAGATCAAGAAAGGGACTTTCGAAGGGCTCCAGGCTGAATTCTAGATTCTTACAGTTTGTGTGGTCTTCTCAAGCAGAGTTGTCCTTTAGACACTTAAAAAGAGAATTATTGAGTGATCTTATTTTGTGTGAGGCTAGTATTACTGTGCTTCTCCTGTGTATAAATAAATAAAATGACTGTTAGCAGACAAATCACTTGCTTTCACATTTCTCTTCTCCAAAGGACCTGTTTTATTTCACTATGATAAAAAAAAATCAAGCTTTGTACATTCTTCATACTAAGTTTTTGTCCAATAAACTTTTGTGGTAGTGAAAAAAAAGAGGTAGGTATCAATCCAGAAGGCATAATACTTCTATGCCTTTATGGAAGACCAGTGAATATGACTATTATTTGCATTCACGTAGCAACCACTAATGCCAAAGATGAAAAACAATGAAAATTTCTACCGATTTCTATAGTCTGAAATTGATCAAGTACACAGTCAAGATGCATTGACAGTCATGATTACTGGAGTATAAAACTGGAAATGAAGACTTCTTAATGGCTGGAAAATAAGGATAGAAGTTTACTGGAGCTCTCATTACTGAATCTTGCAAGACAAAATATTTATTCATTGGAAATGCATTTCTTAACCATAACTATATACATTTCTCTTGCCAGGTGGAATACGTAGGATATACTGTCATTGAGTAGTGAGAAATAGATACTGTTGGCTAAGACAGGCATCAAAATAGAATAAGAATAAATAAAACAAGGAGAGAGGAGGGAGTAAAAATTAACAAATCAGTAAGTTGGTAAGGTGAAAGGCAATACACAATAAGGGGTTGATCAGACAATGCAATTAATTATGTTAATCAATGGCAGGTTAATATTATAAAACAAAATATTTATGAATGATTGTGTGAAAAACAAAGTATCATGAATGAGGATATGATTTATATACATTCATTAAAATAAAAATAAATTTTTTAAAGTAAATAAAGGAAAAGAATAGAGAAAAATCAGTAAAATTAAAAGCTAATGTTCTGGGGGATGGGGAGGATTTGCAATGGGTTTGGAGGGAAGTTACTTTAATTTTGTGGCACCCAAAAAGCCCAAGATGTGTTGTGTGTGAGTCTGTCTGTGCTCCAGCAGCTTCTGTAGACTTTGTGTAGCCAACAGGAAGGTGCTGGAAAGAGCATTATTGTCCCACACCGGAGACTCCAGTCAGGCAGGAGTCTTCAGTTCCTGTAAGTTGCTGCATGCAAGGGCTGTGCAATGGAAGCCTCCTTGGGAAACCTAGTGTTTCTTTAAAGGAACATAAACAGGCTGTGCTAATTTTAAAAGAATATAAACATCTGCTCCACACTGGAAAGGACAAAGAGAAAAATGTTGCTGCTGGATTTGTACAGTATGGTTTATTTTTGCTTACTGATGAAAGGGCTTATTAAAGATTGTTCAGTTTCTCTACACATTCACACCCTTTTTAAAGACTTCTGCTTCCAGGCAACATATAGTGACAATATAGTACTATAACAAACAGAAGAGTAAAGAGAGTTAGAGAAAATACAAACATGTTCTAAAACACTTCAGACAACTGAGAAAGGAAAGAGGACTGAGCAACCTATACTTCCAAAGAGGAAGGACTCATTCTGGCAAACTGAAGTCACTAGCCAAGAAACATTTGCCAAGCCTGGACATAGGATTCAGATTGGATTTACCTTGGGTATAGTCATTTTTGAAAGGAGGAGTGGCATTCCATAATAGCTTGCCTCCGGAAACCCTATGAACCTGGACAGAGGATGAAAGGCACCCAAGCGTCGAGGACTCTCCTTCATAGGGTTGCTATGAGTCGCTTTAATAGGAATGAGAGAGAAATAATATCTATGTAGGTGGACATAGAGATTGGAATCTAGAGTTACTTAAAATGTGGACAGTTCTTTTTAGGAGACATTTATTAAATACTAGGATAGCAGAAGGAGTTTGGGCCAGAAAGGCAGAGGGAACTCATCTTCAGTCTTGTGTATAACAACAGCATGCCAGAATAAGCACCTGAGATAAATACACAAATAATAGAACTCAGCCTCAAGGCATTTAATGTCGGAGGTGAGCAGATTCTTAACTAAAACTGCAGTTTGGCCTCAACCTCAATAGTCGAGAAGGTGAATAAAGATTCTTGGGGTGAAGATAAGGTTAATTCATTCTCTGTGTTCTTTATGTTTTATTATTTTTTGTATGCAAAGTCTAGTTCATAGTAAAAATTATTATCCAAGGTAATAAAGATTGTAACTGACAATCAAGAAGGTAAGCAGACAATATCAACAGACCCACAAGTTATTTAATGATTGAACTTGTAATGGAGAATTTAATCATTATAAACAAGTTAAAGAAAAACAAAATTAGTAAAAAGGTAGATAACTTCAATGGGGAATTGCATATTTTATGCAATTAGCATATGCCTCCTACATTTATTTGCCCACTACCAACTAGCATAGCCTATTTACAAAAATACCTCTCTGGAGAAGAGAGTGGTTGGCAAGCAATCATAGATGGCATAAACAGAGTTACTTATAGAAAACAAATAGAAGAAGAACCAAATGCAAAGTAAAACATCTGAAATAAAGAATTCCTATGACAGCCTACTAAGGAGCTCTTGTGGTGCAGCTTTTAAGTGCTAGGCTGCTAACTGAAAGGTCAACAGCTTGAACTTACCAGTTGCTTCAAAGCAGAAAGATAGGACATTCTGCTTTGGTGATGATTTACAACCTTGGAAACCAGATGGGAGTTCTCCTCTGGCCTGTAGGGTCACTGTGAGTTGTAGTTGAAGTGAAAGCAGCAGACTAGTCATAGCAAAAGAGAGAACTTGTGAACTCAGGTTTATAGAAAATACTCAAATTGAAACATGGTAAGAAAAAAGGAAAGAAGAAGAAAGAGGGAAACATTTAAGAGATGTTAGACAAAGTCAAATGATCTAATATATGTATAATTATAATCCCAAATGGAGAGGAAAAGAGAAGATGTACAGGACCAATACTTAAAGAGGAAATGTCCCAAAACTATGAAAGATAGTCACCTTTATTTAAGAAACATGGAAAATTCCAAGCAAAATAAATACCAAAAACCCCCTAACAATGTATATCATAATAAATGGATATTTTAAAAAAGAAACATAAAATCTTATAAACAGGCAAAAAGAAAAAGTGTGTTCTTATCAAAGAGAAGGAGTAGTAACTTGACTTTTCCTTAGAAACTATGGAAACCAGAAAAAAAATGGAATCACATTTTTAAAATGCTAAAATAAAAACTCCTGATCTTTAAGTTTATACTCAAAGACTTATCTTTCAGAAATGAAGGCAATTTTTATATTAAAGCAATATAATAAGTACTTTTATATCATTCTTATCCTTTTAGACCATTTCATTAGATTAGTATTTCTAGAAGGGGAAAAAATTAATTAGTGTTATACCAATTCCATACTTTAAACACTAAAAACAAAAGAAAGTTATATGAGATGATCGTAATCTAGACCCCATATCCTCTACATCACATCTTGGTGGATATAAGTGTCCAGCGAACACTTGGGACAGTGTACGAAACCAAGAAGTACATGTTTGGGTCCTAGTAGGCATGAGTGTTCCTCCAATGGTCTTAAACGGGTGAAATCATTTCAAGAAAATAAATACATACATGATCAAGGATAATACGCATAAATGGTGACCAAGAGGTGAAGATAGTAGTCAAGGGAACAAGTGACAACAAAGCAGAATCAAGTAATGAAGTTATCACAAAACTGAGTGTGACAATTCAGAGCAAAATGTTCCTTTGTAAGCATCCCCTGCCGCATCTTATTATAAGGAATTGGATCCCTAGGGATATAGAGAATGGGTACTCTGACTGCTTCTCACTGGGAAGATGAGATGATGCCTTCGTTTCTAGCTTAGTGCTGTGAAAATGATATGTGTAAATAATAGTTGAGTGAGCTATGTGTGGTTTTAGAAGGATAGTTCTAAAAGGAGAAACAGGAAATTGCTAAGTAAAACACCATTGTGCTATTGATTGCACTGCTCTGAGGAGGGTCATCGTTGAGGGGTCTGAAATGTTGTGCCATGTGGGGGCCTCTCATTTCCAGCTAAACCACTTAGACTGTCTTCAAAGTGCAGAGACGTTCAGCAGCAATTTTTAAAACCTCATTTCTGAGAACAGCCTATTTTCTGAAGTGTTTAATACTGGACAAGTTTATCAACAGCATTTGGGGTTGAGCGGGAAAATACAATTTATATTATCACCAACATCATCATCATCAATAAAAAATTGATAAAAAATGGAAAGTAATTTTTCAGTAACCACAAGTCACAAAATGCATGCAGGTAATAAAGCACCCAGTCCCGCTTTTAGAAAGTGTGAATTGTTTGTATATTTTATTCCATTGTTTTAATTTGGCTAGTAGAAATCATGATTAAATTATAATCATAAATTATACTACATATTTGCAGTAAAATCTCAACTACAAACACACATCTGTGAAACTCAGAGATCAGTGAATTGAATCTACCCTATCTCATTAATACCCATTTGCAATTTGTTATTCATTACCAACCAGCTGATTATAAGCACCAAAAGTTTTTAAGACCAGTAATGGAGAACTGAAAAAATTTTAAATATGTTGTTGTTGTTGTTGTTATGTGCCGTCGAGTTGTTTGCGACTCATAGCGACCCTATGCACAACAGCCCTAAACTCTGCTCTATCCTGTGCCAATCGCACTGCCTCCGACACACCCATCCCAATTACCCCAGTCACCAAATCAATCCACCTCATAGAGGGTCTTCCCCTTCTGTGCCGTCCCACCACCCTCCCAAGCATGATGTCCCTCTCCAAGGACCCGTCCCTCCTGGCAACATGCCCAAAGTATGTCAGACGAAGCCCCAGAATCCTTGCGTCCAAGGAGTTGCTTGGGTTAATCCTCTCCAGGATGAATCTGTTTTCTTGGCAGTCCATGGTACATTCAATACTCTTCTCCAGCATCACAGCTCAAAGGCATCAATTCTCTTGTCCTCCCTAGTCATTGTCCAACTCTCTGATGCATAACAAGTAATTGCAAAGACCGTTTCCCCCATGAGTTGGGAAAGGCCAAATTCAGCTCTGGCTAGACTACTGTCAGACTCCTGGGTACCTGTTTTCCACAGGTGTAAAGTTTGAGAATCATCACTTACAGACTTTAAAACTGTACATTTATTACAAAATTAAGTGTATATAGTAGAGATTCAGAATCTTTAGCATATTTTCTATATTTCATGTTATGAGTATATATTTACAATCCTGTAGAAGAGGTTTTGTCAAGAACCTGGTCAGCCATAAAGGCACAGTACTTTATTAAAATAGCATTAATTTCTAATTGTCTAACATTCCTTGTGGACCCATATTTTGATGGTATTTTCTCTTGCTTGTCTAATGATAGATGCCAGACTTAGACTGACTTAACATGTTGTTGTTGTTATGTGCCGTCGAGTCACCTTGCGACTCATAGTGACCCTATGTACAAGAGCCCTAAACTTTGCTCTGTCCTGTGCCAATAGCACTGCCTCTGACACACCCATCCCGATTACCCCAGTCACTGAATCAATCCACCTCATAGAGGGCCTTCCCCTCCTGCACTTGTCCCTTCACCCTCCCAAGCATGATGTCCCTCTCCAAGGACCGGTCTCTCCTCACAACATGTCCAAAGTATGTTAGATGGAGCCTCAGAATCCTTGCCTCTAAGGAGCCACCCGGTTTAACCCTTTCCAAGATGAATCTGTTTGTTTTCCTAGCAGTCTATGGTGCTCTCAATATTCAGGGAGCAGATAAATGTACCAAAAGGAAATTTATGTGAATGCCCTCTTTGCTGGTTAAAGAGAACAATTCTGTGGTGATTTCTAAATGGCTAGATAAGTCAAAGATAGACTGCTGCTGCTGCTGTTGTTGTTGCTGAGTACTATAGAATCAGACCTGACCCAAGGCTGACCCTCCAGTGAGTTTTCAGAGGTAGTTAATCACATGGGAGGAGATTGCCCATCCTTCTCTGGAGGAGCAGCTGGTAGATTTGAACCACGTGCCTTTGGGATTGCAATGCAGATTCTTACCACTAGACCACCAGAGCTTCAAAGATCGACTTTATGTTATAAAACCCATTGGTTTCTGTTTTGCTTAACAGGAAGTTAGGGTTCCTTGATAGTCACTAGGTACTTATCCAAGTCATGAATACCTCATGTGTACAAAGTAGAAACACTCCATAGATTTTCATGCTATTAACTTTTAGAAGCAAATCTTCAGACCTATCTTCCGAGGTGCTTCAACATAGATGTAAACCACCAACCTTTTGGCAAATAGTAAACATTTACCCACTTGCATTACTAAGAAAGAGTTAATGTGATGAGCTCTGGTGGTAGGGAGTTTTACTGCCAACCCTAGATTCACAGTTTAAACCCACCAATTGCTCCTAGGGAGAAAGATGGGCATTCTTCTCCTGTGTAATTTACGGCCTCTGAAAACCCTCTGGAGGGACAGCTTTGAATCAGTTCTGGCATGATGGTATGGAATTGTTGAGTTGAGTTGACCTCTCGACCATTACTGGGCATCAGTGATGTATGCATCAGGATCATCTGTCTACAAGCACTCTGACTGGCAGGTAGATGGGATCAACATGGGCAGGGACAGAAAATGAAATAGAAATAAGAGACAAAAACACAGATACGCTACAGAGTAGAAGGAACAAAGTGTCCTAAGTGCATATTTGTAGAGTCCAGAGTCTAATAGGAAATTGTAGTGAGCTCCTAAAGTGTGGGAGGGTCATGGTCTGGTAGGCTCACGTTCTAACTCTGACTTTTGCTGTAATCTCTTGCTGTTAGAAGTCACTTCTGGAGGAGTGGTACTGCAGGTGGTGCTACTTCCTCGTGTGTTTCCTTCTCTTTGAACCGATTGCATTCTCTGATTCTTCAGGATCCACTAGTTCGTGGACTATGGGAATTGATGACTCACCCAATGTCACAGATGACACAGCTGATGAGATCATGGACCTCATTGTCAAGTCGGCCACTCAAGTGCCCAGTCAGCGCGTGGTGCCAAGGGAGAGGAAGCGATCCCGGGCCAACAGGAAATCTTGTGAGTGCATTGGAGGAGCAGGGTCGGTGCTTCTTACTGGGATTTGCCTGCATTCTATGTGTCAGGAAAGGATGGTCACTATGGGGCCATCTCCTAGCAATTATAGATTAATTACAGATACTTCTAGAGTTGAGTACTCACACTGCACTCATCAACAAAACCTTTCACGCTCAGTTCTCTGCATCAGCCATGGTAGATGAGGGAACCTTCAGCCACACCTGTCCAATATATTTGCCATTTCTACCAGGGCCCCCTCAATTCACATTTTGTCCCTAGGAAGATCAGAAAGGCCTTTAAATGTCACTGTTTTGCAGAGTTGGGAGCCTACTGGGACCTGTTGTAGAGTACTATGCCGGTCACTCTACTAGAGGTCATAATTCTACTCCTCGCTGAGGATTAGAGGCCACTCACTGGGCTGGAGACTGAGTCTACCTGACTGTATCTACACTGTTGCCCACAAACATACTGAAATGGGAAAATAGATATAGCACCAGATTGTTATGAGGATGGACAGTTTCCTCCTGCACCATTTACTGCCTCTGGAAACTCACTGGAGGGTCAGCTGTGGGTCGGTTCTCACTTGAAGGCACACCACAACAGAGTGTTTAAAGTATTTCATGTTAGCTAGGGTGACTTTCCCCTGTGTCTTACCAAATAGAGGATTCAACTAAATAGAAATGGTGCTGTGTCCCTTAAGTCTGAGCCTGTTGTTTGCTTTTGCCCCATGAACTGATGACAGAGGGGAGAGACAGGAGAGAGGGGAGAGACAAGCAGAGAGGAGAGAGAGACAAAGGGAGGAAGAAGAAGTAGGAAAGGAGATAGATGCTTTGGAAAAGCAATTCTAATTCGAAATGTTTAGCAGGGCTCAGAAAAGGAATCAAAATAAGACAGTAGCCCTGTCCAAACCCCCAGAGATCTAGGTGCACCTCCTACAGGTTCAAGTTGATCAGTAGAGTTGCCTCCATCCTCTGGGCTGAAGAAGAAGCAGATTGTGTGAGACACACGCCATCTCACTGAGAAGAATAATTCACTCACAATTCATTTTCTTCTTCATTCTGGCCACAGTGAGATTTTGCCTGTGTTTACAGTTGACATAAACTAATTTCCTGTGGTATTGTTTCTATTCCAATATTATTCAAAACAGCCGTATATTCTCCTTAGTTAGCCAAGCATGTGTTTGTCCTGCAATGTAGTTACTACAACAACAAATGCAGCACTGCATGTATATATCTGTTCGTTGGTGACATGCTTCATTTATGAGTAGTGGCCCTACCCAGGCACATTTAAAACGGGTGGAAATTGGGCTTTGGTTTCCATTATAAAGGGCTGATAAACCCCAGATTTTCACAAAAGGTTACAAGGATAAGAAATATAATTGCAAACATCGATGTGAAGTTTAGTAGTTTGGACCTCACCCTGAAGAAATGCTGTATTAGACTTGAAGGTTTAATAGTAGCAACGAGGCAAGTGGATAATGAATAACCCACATACTTGGGCTATAACTCATTTAGCTATAGACAATAATAGTCCAACCATTGCAGGAACCTCAAGAGACTCCATTCTGTAATTTAGAAATTTATGACATGCAAGTCACTTGAGGATCCTTGGGGATAATTGAGTGTCTGCTTTTATGCTTGTTGCTGGTGGCTAGGCCTACACACGCCAAATCCTGCTAATACTGAGCTACACAGTCGGTTGGGGTAATCTGAGGACCCCCCCCCCAATCCCAAGCTCCCCTTGCTTAAGTCGGCTCCTTTTGCAGCTGGTGTCTCTTACTAAGAATGATTTGCATGGACCGTTCCACCGGCAGTCTCTGAGATGGTTGATCTAACTCATCTCATTTGTCTCCTTCCCCCATCTTACCCTCCCACCAGTCAGCTAATGGGTCTGACTAGGCCTTCAAATTTAGTTGTACTGTTTTTTTCCTCCTGCTGAGAATTTACGTTTTCATCCCAGATATATTGAATTTGAATCTCCATTCTAACAAGCTCCCCATAAGGATATTTTTAAAAAAAAAAAAAAAGGAATGTAAGTCCTGCCTTTAATTGTTTTTGGTGAAACATTCTTCTGGGTCGTATAGCCTTGGAGTGTCCACTTGCCGTACAGAGGT